GTTTTGGAACAAAAGAGGTTTTGATTGACCAATGCTTTGTTGATTCACATGAATTGAGGAAAAGTGAACGTGAAGGTATTTATCCTTTAAGTGCAAGACCAAGACTAATACAAAAACTTCCTACAAATCCTTCCTTAATGAAAAGAATCAGTGATTTTTCATTTAAAAGGTAATAATAAATTTAATAACTGTGAAGATCATTTCTTATTTATACATTATATTTAATTGCATATTTATTTTTGGAAAACAAATAACAGAAATTATGAAATAAAGAACTATATGGAAGATGACAATGAATTGGGTCAATTGACAAGCGTCTTTGTAGTCCCGTTACCGGATTTTCTTCTATACCCAAATGGTATAAAAGATAAAAAACTAAAGTCAAACAAATTGCTATTAAAATTATTAAGACTAATAATTTGGCCGCGTCAGTATATTATTTCGAAGGAGGAAGATCGTAGTGCATTTTTGCGAGTAATTAGACATAAAAGAAATGAATTGATTTATGATAATCCATCATTGGAAGCATGTATTAAATACAAATATCCTTCGGCAAAATTGTTTTATGCTAGACAATTAATGCTTTACATAGCTTTTTCGCTTGCAATAGGACTTCATCTTAGTGTGAACACCTTCTCTAATAATGGATTTACAATTCCTGATGATGCAACAGAATATGCAAAAATTTATCACAACCCAATAAAAAGCACCTCCATGTTTCTGATAGTGATCTATTTTAGTTATTATTTGTTAGCTATGGAGTTCATACAATTCAAACAAGAGAAACTTCGCAAATATGCGAATTTCCATAATATTACAGATCTTTTAGCAGTAATACTTCCGTTCGCTGTTTCAATGGCAAATTATGCATTTACTATATTTTCATATCTGAAATCAATGGAGTTTATAAATCAAGGAAATTCAAATTCAAATGATCTAAAAAAATTTCTAGAAGTAAGATTTGATTTAATTCGAATAAACAAATATATTGTAATTGGCGATTCTTTTGTTGTATTGATTTTATGGCTGCAATCTGTAAGTAATTTATATTTTTGATGACATGAGATGATGATAATGACAATTTGGTGTTAATGATAATGTTGTTGTCACTATTATTAATTTTTAGTCTTTTTCTTTCGTTTCTCTAATCTTATTTATAGCTACTATTGTTACGGGTTTTTTCACGTCCTGCGTATTTCATCCGCCTTATCATTGATATAATAAAAAGCATTTGGCCATTTTTAACTTTTATGGTTATTGTTGTTTTGGGATTTGGTCACGCAATGTAAATATAATAAAAAAGTATTCTAATTTCTTATTCATTTAGCAAACAAATACTAATTTTTGATTTTTTCAATATCTTCAAAATTAAAAAAGGTACATATTATTAAATGATCCAGCTAGTATTGGAATATACCCAGCTACCACAAAATATGTAGTAAATAGCACATCAACCTTTCCCAATCCTTACGATGACATAATAATTCAACCAGATTTTGATCTAAAAAGTGTATCGGATAATTCTTTTGTTGATTTTAGGAAATCGGCTGAATCTGTTTATTTTTGGCCGTTGGGTAGATGGGATCAAGTTGATCAATGGGATTTTTGGCCAGTTGAGCTGTTGAGCATATGTAAGCAGATAATGAATATGCAGTTTTTTATTAAATTTTTTATTTATTAATTTATTTTCCTTTTAGTGGCAAGTATATTACTTGTGACTATAATGCAAAATTTATTGATAGCATTTATGGCGTAAGTGCACAAATTTCAAATCCAATTTCAAATTAATTATGAAACGTTGTTATTTTAATCATTATTGATTCTAAAATATTAATAATAACAATGTCTTCATATTTCATATTTTCGGCGCTACTATCCCATCTATCACTCTCTTATTCCACCCACCTCATCATTATTAGTGGTATATTTGAAGAAGCAAGTCGTAGTGTGAAACAAAAAACCTTGAAAATTCAAGCAGATCTACTGGCAGATCATGAAATATTGGAGAAGCCATATGGTAATTCTAAAGGAAATCCACGATTTATTTATTATGTTGGAAAAGTTAATGAATTGGAGAATTGGTTAATGAAAACTCAAAAGTTTCACAACAATCGATTCAAACCATGGGCGGTCAAGTCTGGAGAGGATACCTCTTTGAGATTGTATGACTTTGAGTACGAGGAGTTTATTGATGATGATGATGATTTTGATAACAACAACTATAATAATAAACGTGATAAAAATAAAGATAATGGTGATATATATGAAAAGAATAAGAAGGGTATATATGAAGATGATGATAAAATATTTGATGTTAATGATAATGATGAACCTATGAGATTTATAGTAAAGACTTATAAAATCATTGATGGTGACCATGAAAAATATGTTAAAGACAACAACAGAGAGGACGAGAAATCTAAGGATAAAAATAAAAATGATGGTATTAGTGATGGTAGTAACAATAATAATAATACGAATATAGATAGTTCATCGACATCCTCGAATATAGAAAAAAGTTTAAGTAAACTACAAAATGAAATGAAAAATTTGGATTCTAATGTTACAAATAGAATTGACACGATTGAAAACAATATTAAAGAAATTTTAAAATTAATTAAATCTCAACAAGCATAAGTAAGAGGCATTTATATTAATTTGTATGTAGTTTATCTATTTATCAGGATTATGTATTTATATTTATCATTTATTAGATAATTCTTTAATGTAAATGTATATATAAAAAAAAAAATTTTTTTTTACTAATTTATAATCTTCAAGCTTTTTGATCAATTGGACTTTATAATTTTTTTGGATTTCATTTTTAATTGGATAATATTCATATCGGACCAACTGGATAATAACTACCAACTAGTTTACCTGTTTCTTTAATTTTTTACAAATACTCTTCCACTACTTAAATCATAGTAATATCCTGCACCAACATCATTATCAAAAAATATTACGCAATTGGGTAAAATAGAAATTGGAGGATAGGCTTTGTTAGATGTATTTACCTGGATTTCTAGTGAAACCTTTTCAAGAAATGCACTTACCTCAGTTTCCGGTAATTTTTCTGAATCGTTTGAGATAAATGGTTCAATCATGTGTGCATTCTTTTTTGGAAAACGATTTATAATATTTTGAATTTGAATATCTTTTAGACTTGAAATAGCCCGATTCTATCTATCCCAATTCCTTCAAACAATATATAGATTTTTTTAGCTCTAAAAGTTATTTTACACAAGTTTACATCGGTAATGTCAGGTAGAAGTGATTTGATTTCATTATATACCGATGTCCCTGCAGATCTGTCGTCAATTTTTTCTATAGACCTATGGTTGGCTCGGTCTAAAGACCTCCTATTGCTGCGCCATATGGCCAAATTTCAAAATAACAATTTTGTAATTCGTTCAAAAATGTAATAAAATTTTTCAAAAAATAGGACTTCACGTG